CATTATTTCAATGGGCTTTCAATACAGCCTAAAACACACGCAAAACACAAAGGCTCTTTAGATGAAAGATGCTTTCTAAGTGGCAGGTATGACTCTTGAATTGTATTGTTAACCCTAAATGGGACAGGCAAATAACAAGTATGCAAACAGTAGGACATCGCCTGAAGAAAACTGTCTATAAAGTAAGCAGTGTAGCTGCATGCCTCTGATACACCAGCTCAGCAACAAGAGAGGAGAAACCATCTTCTCCTGGACAGGAGCCTCTCCTCAGGTCAGGAAAATAGCTGAGGACAGAAGAGTAGAAACAATAGCTGGAGACCACAGGTATAGTTTTTGGGAAGGGTTGAAGGAGAAAGCCTTGGCTTTTCAATTTCTGTCTTTAAAGTGTACACAGGAATACAAGGAAACACAGAACCAGCTAATTCCAGGCTGGCAAAGATGAATCTGTTTTACAGAATTGTCTTTAAAATACTGAACATCTCAAAACCAACCAGAGGAAGTAACTGTTGCAAGATATCCCTGAACCCAAAACTCTAGACATATCGGTTCAAAATGTCTAGATAAAGACCTTTACATCAGATTTAGGGAAGAAAATACAAGATAAATTGTTCTGCACCCTACTTTTTCCTCACCAAGGCTTCAGGTCATTAGGCAATTCCTTAACTGTCTGAGGTTAGAAAAAATATTCTCTGGAGGTAGATCATTTTCTGATTTTGCACTAAAATTTTTTGACTTTTAACTTATCTGGACATACTGACCTCATTTGCCTTGTGAGGGCATCAGACAGAATATGGAAGTTAAAGCTGCTGATCTAATCCAATGCCTCTTCACTTGTAGAGAAGTTTTTTTCAAAAGGAGAGAAAGAAACTATAAAGAAGAAGCAGAAAATATGCCTATCCTATCTTTAACTTAGAATACTTTCTCTTCAGTATCATTTTGACTCTCTGCCCAGAAACTCTAACGTAAGCCTCTTGATTGCAGAAGTCACAAGAGAATGAAGTGTTTGCAGAAGGCTGTAGAAGCAGGAGAGATGTTTCCTATTCCACTTTTCGGTCATAGTCTAGCTGAATAAACTCAGCCCCTTAAAATTTTATTAAGTCTAAATAAGGATTTATATGTTTGGAAAAATGGTGCTTGGAAAAAAAAATTAAGAATAAGAGAGAGAGAAAGGAATGAAGAATGTAGTATAACCACAGGAAAGCAGAGGTGTTTCCCCCTTTCACTGTTCTTAAGTGAAATAAGAAAAAAAAAACCCTGAAACTGAGGATTTGTTTAGTCCTCCACTGTCATCAGTGCTGATGGCTCTGGGACAGGAAAACGGCAGAGATTTGGGTGCCTGCTCACACCTCTCCATTTCAAGCACCTTACCCTAGCTAAGCTGGGCAGCAGCATCTCCCCGGGGCAGTCCTGTCCCTGTCTCCGACCCCGGGTACCAAAGGAGCTGTCCTCTGACCTGGTGCCCAAGCTCCTGCTTCAGTCTAGGAAATAACTTTCCCAGAACTTTTCCTCCCACCACCGTCCCTTCTGTGCACCCCCTTGGCACAGACTCAGCCCCGAGGACTCTGCCCTCTCCTTCCAAATACTGCAGGAGTCAACAAGACTGATACTGGGAAATCTGCAGATTTCCCAAACTCCCTCGGGGAGGCTGAAGAGGCTCAAGAACCCCATCTGTAACACCTCAAGTCAACAGTATTAGTATTTCCACTTCTGGTCCTTCTTTCTGCTCCAGGATCAGTTTTACTCTAAAGGCATCTCAGCATCTTGCAGACAGCTACTGAAGATGCTCTGTCTCCCAAGATTCACGCTAGAGGAATTTAGGAAGTTACTGCACCTAGACATATACTCACCACCACCACCACCATCCCTGCAGCTATGTTAGACTTTCCCAGCTACTTCCCAGTTCATTACAGTGACCTAAACCAATGGATCTGAACTGAGCAAATGATGGACAGGTTCACCTTTATTCTGCAGCTCCCGCTAACCTTCAAGGGACAAGCAGGCACTAGTAACTTTATAAACAGCCCCCAAATGAATCCTCAAAGAGTGAGAGTCACAGCCTTCTGCAGGTCTCCATGCCCCTGCAGGACAGAGCTGAATTCCTGGCCTCCACTGTTCACAAAAGCGTTGAGTCTTACGACTCCGTTCCTGATCTTTTGTTCCTTTCTATATGATATTTCAAAGTTGCGTTAATGGTACCAGCTGCAAGGACTTATCAGACCTCTGAAGTGCTAGGACAGCAGTTGGGTATCATAGAAGAATGGGCACACATTCTCAAAACACTGTGACACTCTTGTCTCCCAAGATTGGCATGGGTACCTGCCCAGAAGTTTAAGTGATGATACATCTCACTTGGGATATTTATAGTTTTTCTGCACTTGTAGGCCTATCGTTTGTTGTCACCTGATGAGACCTGCAATACACTCTCAGCACATGATAAATCCCCGTGCCTACATTTAATGTCTCAAGAGAAAGTTCCCATGGGGGATGCTTCATGTGTAATATTTAAGCCAGGCTAATCTAATTTGGTAACCAAAAGGCAAAGACTGTCTATGGCAGAGATAGTCTATCATCCTTGCAAAAACCACACAGAATAAACTTTGGAATTACCACCACTGGCAGAAGTTGACCTGAATAGGGAGTTTATTTTAGGTTTTAATTCTCTATTTTGTCCTGCTTGCAATTAAAAATAAATGGTATAAAGCTGGTTTATAAAAACACTACCAAACAAAAAACCTCTCTACCCAAATTAAAAACAACAACCCTTGAGAGGAAAATACTCCACAACATTTAGAGTTCTGCAGGGACTAGTATACATATAGGGATTTTAATTTTCCATGGCCTGTAAGTGTTATAATCTCGACCAACTGCATGCACTCTGGGACAATGACTAACACCAGTGCTTGAACTCTGATTGGTTGTTGGCTTCTTTCTTTAACACTGTTTTTAAACTCACATTTGATCCAAGAATTTGCAGGGATAAAGAAGTTTTTACAGCAATCTGTTCCTCTCAAGTCTAACCCACAGGTCTGTTACAGGACAGTGTGTCAACAAATCACAGATGTCTGCGAGTCAATGCAACCAGTGTGAACGGCCACAACTTGTCTGAGGGACAAAGGCTTTATTGATGGAGAAATTACATTGATAGAGATTAAAAGATGACACAGGACATTCAGGTGCCAGGACTGCCTTAATGATTTTACTACTAGTAGTCCTTTCTTTGCATCCATAGCAAATATACCACCACACCTTGCAAGAGTTATGTCTCCAAAATCATTATGTGTTTATCTCGTGTGCTATGCCTGCACATTACAGGAATAGTTACAACCATTGACTTCTCCAGGATCCTCTAAAGTCATGAGCTCTCTATCTTTTCCAACTCGCGCACCCCATCTCTAGAGATGTATTCCTACCTGAGTTGCTTTCTCCCTTTACTTTTCAGTGCAAGGCTGTCCAGAAAGAACAGCTCTGGCAGCTTTGGTGCTACACAGACTTATGTTTTAGGACTGCCATGTTAACCATTATGTCCTGCTTAGTCACGCTAAAACAATGCTTCACTCTCTAGGACTGGATTAACTGGGACAGCAAAGGGATTTTATCCCATTCATTACCATCAACCATCCCTTCTACTGTTTGAAAACAATAACCAGATATGGAAAGAGAGGAGACACAACCATTTGTCCAGAATTTGAGGACCTCCAATTGTCCAAGCTACTGTACTTCTGCTCCTGTCGAGGGGCAGGCTAGTTCTGTGATAGGTGACATGGAAGAGCAGCTCCAGCTGCTGCTGGATGTCTTTTACATTTCTACCTCGAACTTCTCAGAAGGACATACAAGACCTCTGGGAAAACACCCCTGTCGCGGAGCGTGGCTGGTACAGACAGGTTGGGGCTATCCTTGCTTTCCCAGGTGTTCCTCTGAGAAACAAGTGACCCACAGAGCCCTGTGCAACTCAAGATAGCAATGGCAAGATAAGGTGTCTCAGAGACCTCTGCCTAGATTGACAGACTGGGCTTACCCTGTCTCAGTTCTCTCTTGAGGTCACAGTTATCCTTGATTTGTATTTGCTAATGGTAAACCACCATAATGATTTAATAGACTTCCATTGGCAAAACATATACAATACTGTGGCTACCAAAGTTTATACAGGTCCCCTTCAAGTGAGTCACTGCACCTGAGACAGGAACGTGGGAACATTTATCAAAAAAATGGAGAGGTAGGATATGACATCCAAAGACCAAGTTTCCATAGAATTAATTGGAAAGGAGAAAGAGGAACCCACGTACTAAATGAGAATCTCAGAGTTTGCAATGAACTATCATCAAACTGGTCTGGAAAGCAGATTTCGGCTCCATTGAGAGTTTTTAATAGCATTGGATAACTAAGATAAACAGAGACCGAATGGCTGCCTGAGACACATACAAAATTATTGAATTATGACATGTTTGAGAAGTTATTTACTTTATAGAGTATTTACATAAGGTTCACTTCCTCTTCATATATAAGCTCAAATATTACAAAGATTCCCCCCCCCCCTTAATGAGGGGACTACATTCAACAGCCCCACAAACATCCATAATTAACTTTTTTTCAGGCACATTCCTAGTAAAGATTTCCAGGCAGTCCCTTCCCCAGAGCTCAAGCAATACCAAGGAAACTCCGCTCTCTCACCAGGCAAACGAGGCACATGTGGAAACAAAACACAGGGCATCAAAAGGAAGAGGGGAAAGAGGAGATAGATAGAGTATAAAGTGATGACCCTGAGACCGAAGCTTTACTTATTGCTGTGCTATAGGCACCTGATAGGCTTTATGCCAGGCTCTTAATCTCTCTGTACCTCAATTCACCTCAATTTTAATGAATACAGATCCTTATATCCAGTGTAGAAGTTTTAGATCAGGGTTTTGGTAGGAGACACTTCCTGGCTCTGTAAGGGACATCATTGCTATTAAAGCACCTGATTTTTCTCAATTAGCTGGCCCATCCGCAACGCCTTTGCTTACCTGAGAAGTGTCATGGTTGAATATGACAGCATTCAGGTCTCCACAGTTATAGTGCTTGATGAGATCTTCAGTGGTATATGGGGCCTGCAAACTACCTGCTCGGAGGCTTTCGTGTTGGAGCAGAGTTTGATTTAGAGCAAACAGCACCTGTAGAAACGCAGACAAGAAAAACAGGGAGGAGTTAAAGATATTAGGAATTAAAGCAGCAAAGTCTAAAAGGCCAAACCTTGGAAAACTCTCTTGCACCTGAAGTCTATTGACCCGTCCTGGCCCACAGTAACAAGGGCTGATCTTTAGGCATTCCCACCTGGAAGCGGAGTCAGATGCAAGGTCCCCTACTGGCAGAGACCTTATAAAACCTTTGATATTCTGAATAAAGTATAACTTCACTACACATATATATTGCTCAGAGGTCACGGTCTGAGAACTTTTAGGCTGTCTGTGCTGACTGCTTGGCTACATGAGACACTGGAATGAAAAAGCCTCTAAATTAGGAAACTTCTATTGCCTCTGACTGTTTCCTGTCTGCTAGCTGAAATCCAAAGTCCAAACTCAGTTGGAAGGTTTTTGATAAAAATCAAAGTCTTCTGAACTTCTGAAGTCACAGTTGTTGTATTGGGACTTTCTGCATGCTTCTAGTAGCAGAAACTTCAGGAAATTCATTTTTAGCCTCCCTCCTTTAGTCTTTCCCCCTTCAGCCACCCTTTTGCAAAATGAACACAGATACTAATTCTAACACTGCCCAGCAGACTAGCTGAGTGTCCCCATCCCAAACCTGAAAATACCAAGAAAGCAGAAGCACTCTTTACTATGTAAATTTTGATAAAAAAAAAAAAAAAGTCCTTAAAGATAATGTTTTTTTCCTTGCATTACCAAAAAGGCTACTAAATTTCACATGAATTACCACAAATATTTTTATATTTGTGATAGACCGTGGGAGTAATTTATACCATAATAATTTACTGAACCACCAAGTCTGGGCTTTTCACGTTCAGCTTTCCAAGAACCTTCCAAAGAAACTTGATAAAAAGTAGATGAATAAATCAGAAGAACAGTAGTTAAGACAGTTTGTCACAAATTATATAAGTAAGCAAATGCACTTTTCCTAAAATAAAGTGATATATAGTGACTGCAAATTCAGAGTTCTGAAAAATTGTATCGATGTGTCATTTTTCATGAAAAGACTCCTGCATCCCTCAGCCTCATGTTTCACCACATTTTCAGCTTCTCTCACTTATAACAGCAGCGCCCTATCCATCCCAAAGAATAACCATGATCTCAAAATCTGGGTAAAGTACCCCATGCTGAGCTCCAGCTGGCCCAGCTAGGCTGCAGTCTGTAACACATATTCTTACTTACCTTCTTAACTTCAAGCAACTGAACCCACTTTAAGGAGTGAACCCCAAAGGATTTTAATATTAACAATGTACATATGTACTTGCGGGATGGAAGTTCTTATTAGTTTAAAATTATGATTCCTATTGAAGTTTATCTGAAGGAAAGGAAACAGTCAATTGGATTTACTCCTGCAAAACCTCAGATATATAACAAATATGATCTGAGATTTAAACAAAACAAAACAAAACATCATCATCTCCAGGGCATTAACAGCCTCTTAATACAAAGCTGTTACATGCTAACTAACATACACAAATGGGTTGAGGAAAAGAAAATGTTATCTTTAAATTTACTTTTAAAAAATATAAACATGGTCTTTCAACTGAACGAGTTATACCTCAATTCGGCAATCAGTTCCCCATTAAGATCAGGCCTAAAAGATTTCCTTGCCCAGATCTAAGAGTCTCTTCAGGCTTTTCTACAAATAGATCAATCTTTCCTAGGACCACAGCCTGAAGTTAAGCATCTTCCTAACTTAGATTTTCTCTAATTTAAAAAATCTGCAAAAAATACAGTTTGAAAAATTTCTAACCTTTGAAATGATCTGAGCTTTTTTTTTTTTCCCCTAAGGGCTACAGATTGAAGAGGAAATAGTTCATCCCAGGATTTCCTGGGGATTCTAAACATTTTGGCTAATAAAAATAAAAGCTTAGAAAAACATTGACAGGAAAACTGAGAGCAGAGGTTTTCCCGAAATGCTTTTAGTAAAATCCTTCTCATTTTTTACTTTTTAAACAATGGATGTTGCTGGATTTTTTGATACAAAAATATGTATACACACAGGCACCACATACACAAACCACCAACAAAGCCTGAGGATAAGACAGCGTGTTTTACGATAAAATATTAAGAAGGTGATAAACAAACCCTTACTTTACTCCCAATGCCTTTTTTTTTTCTTTTTTTGGTTTTTTTTTGGGGGGGTGGGGTGGGGGGTGGAGTTTTTAAATTCTGGCTTCCTGGGGAATCCAGTCCTGTGCATTAATGCTCTGGGTCTGTCTGTCTCCTCCTAACAAATTTGGAACCTATTAGTTGATTTCAGTCACATTTGCAGAGAGTTAGAGGTCTAAAAGAAAATTGCCTATATGTTCCTTGAAAATAAGTGCTGGGCTGCAGAAAAGCCCACAGTACGACTTCACTTCTTATAAAACATCAAAGACTCCACGTGAGACAGAATGAGTTATTTGGAGTTTACAACAGTAGATGGACCCCTGTACACCGGACCCCAGATTTCATTAGTGTCAGGATGTTCATGTCCCTGTTCTCTGCCCCTGAGCAGCTTTGGGACCTAGAGGTGATGCTGGCCACAAGCTGAAGTCCAGCATGCTGCTACCGCTGCCGGGGAGCTCATTGCTGCATTCAAACTACTGCCCGAAAAGCAATTAAAGAGATTTTATTTTAGGAGGGAAGTTAAAATTAGAAACTCAAACACTTGAATATGCTAAAGGAAAACTGTAACCACTTAAACAGATTTCTAGAGAAGTCTTGCTTAATCAAGTCATAACCATCACAGTTTTTGGTCAGGCAGCTCAAAACAAACTCGAGAAGCGGGGTCTCGTCGTAGCTGTCTGCTCGTTGGCTGGATTTGTAGACCATTTCCTTCAGAGTCAGGTTAAAGCCACCTTTAAACCTGAATTTATTTTTCCTTACTGTTCAGATAATGCCACAAAAACAACACTGTTTTCTTTCCTTCTCTCTATCTTAATATCAGTGACCCCATGACCTCCAGCCTAAATCTCTGAGTTAAATCTCCCAGAGGTGCCTGAGATTACCGAACAACTGATGACTTCAAAATAAACACACTCAGAGCGACTGCCTATACACAGTCCCACCTAATAAATATAGCAGACAGTATTTGTTCTGGGAAGTGATGGGAAGTTATGAGTTCGGTGCTGGGAAAGTGCATTTTTATTCACGCAATTTATGGTCCTCACATTGGCGCGCTTTGAAAGCTATTCTTGGACAGCTGTCTCTGGCCCCCATTTGCAACCTATCAACCGTGGACAACAGAAAGGGGTTTTTATCCTGCCAGGAGGAAGCCTTTTTATCTGAGCTGTGTCATTCTCCTGTGCAAAGTAGCAACCCAACACACAGATTTTTATTTGGGTGTTTGGAGACACCAGCTCAGCCCTTAGGGCAGACCTATGGGTCCTGTTTTACTGCCTAAAAGGGAGTGGGTACCACCAATTCCACACAGCGCCAGGAACCACCAGGCCAGACTTTTTAGCAGCTCTTTTGCACAGACTATGGCCATCTCAAGGATAAGGGGGTTGGACCAGTAATTTCTGCCATGGCAAGGTCAGAGGGGATACAGCAGAACTGGGCAGGGGGACAGCTCTTGCATCACTGGTGACTTCAATTGAAGGATTCCCAGGAGGGGGGAGGTCTACAGAAACCCCAAGTTTCATTTCTTGGTGAACAAGACTGAGCGATTTCTTATGTTCGTGCCAACTGTTCTCACCATCACACAATGGTATCTATCTGTGCTCTTTTGCCTCTATGATCTTGGGCACTTCAGTTGCAACCAAATCTGCAAAGACCAGCCTTTGCTACCCATGCGCAAGCTCACTCCAGGCCTCTACAAGGGACCAAGCAAGCCCAGTGAAGACCAATAAAGCAAACAGTTTTACTGATTACCTTGATACTCCAACAGTACTTCTCCCCCACACGCCTCTGGATTACAGAGCCAGGAGTCACACATTAATGGAAGGCATGGGTTACAAAAGTCTACCTCACACATAAATCAAGTTGAATGTTTAAGCCATTTAACTTTCAACTTCAAAAGACGAAATATTAGAAAACCTCCAAACCCCTCATATGAAGCAAGCAGACAAAACTGTCTCAAGGTTTCAAAGCGGGCTGGCATTGCATAGAAGTGTTGGTATATACCCAACAGTATCAGCCGTTGGGACAGTTTGAACTTTGTTTTGCAAGCCCATGGGAGTAGATGGTTTGATTTTATGCAAGATTTTAATGAGATTTGGCTTTTAGGCAAGTAAACCCAATCCACGGAAAAGGATCTAAGAAAGCATTGCCACCTTTTCAAGTAGGGAGGGTGTTGTGGTTTAACCTCAGTCGGCAACTGAGTACCACACAGCCGCTCGCTCACTCCCCCCCCACCCCCCCCCGGAG